TACTTAACACGCAAACTCAACACAGAAAGACCTGTTTGGAGGTGGTGGAGGCCAATTATATATTTTTTATATAGCTGCTGCTAAGTGTGTTTTGGGTTCAATGTTAAAAATAATTTAGATTATATGGTTGTTTAAGTAAATTAGTTTTAATTGTATGAAAACTATGCAATTCTCTCGTAAACCTTCAATCATAAGGCTCAGAAGTTAATAATAATTGAAAGCCATTCCAAGGCCTCTAAAATGGTGTCGTGGCCCACATCTTTGAAATCCCTTGATAAAGAGTTCCTAGGTTGGAAAATTTGCTGTTTTACACCTAAAAAAAAAAAATATTTGAGCATTTTTTATTATTATTATATTTTACCTTTTACCCATACATTTTTTAGAATAATCAATCAACGTTTATTTATAGAGCGCCTATCCTACACAAGGCAACGCAAAGCGCCTCACAACCCATATAACATCATGCATAAATCATCAAACATTAGAATTTAAGTAAACATAAAAGGACAGATTAAGAGCACAAGATATATAAAATCACACAAGTAGTTAAAAACCGTAAAACATTAAAATCACACAAGGGATTACAATCATAAATAATCATAAATAATCATAGTGCATTAAAAAGATTAAAGATAAAAACAAATATAAAATCATTCACTTTTATGCACAGCTAAAAAGAACTGTTTTCAGTTCAGTTTTAAAAACTGCTAGAGTAGACGCCTGTCTCACACTCTCGGGAAGACGGTTCCAGACTCTAGCTGCATGAATCTGAAACGCAGCCTCCCCATGTCTAGTTCCGACTCTTGGCACTAACAGAAGTCCAGTCCCTGTGCTCCTCAGAGCCCGAGTTGGTTCATATGGCACCAACATGTCGCGGATGTACCCTGGTGCGAGGCCATGGAGAGACTTGTACACAAGTAAAGCTACTTTAAAATCTATTCTCTGAGCCACAGGAAGCCAGTGCAGAGACCTGAGGACCGGACTAATGTGGTCGTACTTCCTGGTTCTAGTCAGGACTCGAGCTGCAGCATTTTGGATGTACTGCAGCTGTTTTACCGCTTGTTTAGAGAGACCTGTGAACAAGCCATTGCAGTAGTCCAATCGACTGGAGACAAATGCGTGGATAAGAATCTCCAAGTCTGCTTTAGACACAATGTTTTTTAATTTTAGCAATGTTTCTTAGGTGGAAGTAAGCTGATGATGTCACAGATGATATGTGGCTATTGAAATTTAAGTCTGAGTCCATTATTACTCCTAGATTTCTGACCTGAGTTGAGGATTTTAGGGAGAGAGACTGGAGGTGGCAGATAACGCTCTCTCTTTGTTTTTGAGGTCCAAAAACAATAATTTCAGTTTTTTCTGTGTTTAGCTGGAGAAAGTTATTTTGCATCCAATCACTGATTTGTTGGATACAGTGAAGGAGCGAGTCCACTGGTCCATGTTCTCCTGCTGTCAGGGACACATAGACCTGAGTATCGTCAGCATAATTGTGATAGGACACGTTATTACTGTGTATTAACCTACCCAGAGGCAGCATGTAAATATTAAACAGGAGAGGCCCCAGGATTGATCCCTGTGGCACTCCGCAGGTTAGGGCCAGATGGTCTGAGATACAGTTTCCGATCTCCACAAAATACTTTCTGCCCTGTAGGTAGGATATAAACCAGCTTAGGGCTGTTCCAGAAACACCAACCCAGTCCTCAAGTCTCTGAATGAGGATACCATGATCGACAGTGTCGAAAGCAGCACTTAAATCTAACAGGATAAGAACTGAGACTTTTCCTGCGTCAGTGTTAAGTCTGATGTCACCAAAATACGTGCAACAAGTAGAAAGAAAATAATACTTCTCACTTTAAAGGAGGTAAACATTATTTTCATATTTTGTAAAGACCTTGTATGGTTCAAGACTCTAAAGCTCTTTCCCTTCTCAAGAAATACTGCTCTTTGAATGGCTAAGGCGATGGAGAACTATTTTCACTATTTGGCTGACTATTTGAATCATCATAATCCTTACTGTTATATATTACAATCAGCAGTGGAGATGCGAGAGCTTACAGCCTGGTCTTTCTCCCTATAACCTTCTGATCAGGTTAGAAATTGAGGGATAATAAAATAAACTTTCAAATTGGTAAGATCCACAGCATTTGACCTTCTAAAGTACATTGCTTTTGTCTCAAGCAGACTTGCTATCCATGCATTTGTCTCCAGTAAGTCAAGTCTCTGCACTGGCTTCCTGTTGCTCAGGGAATAGACTTTAAAGAATCAGAATCATCTTTATTGCCATGTAAGTAACAGGAAGTCACAGTCCAGGAAATTGCTTTGGCTCAGTGCAGCAGTATAGAATAGAGTAGCATACACTTCTAAGGTATAACATTTAAAATAGAATTATTACAATTACTATATATAATATACAAGTGCACATGGTGCTCACAATATGCAGTAAGCAGTGCAATAAGGTGACAGCGGTAAAGTGACGTTATGATGGGCAGTAAAGTGACTTAATAAAGGGCGGGGGGACAGGTTATGAGTTCAAGTCCAACAGCAGAGGGGAAGAAACTGTTCTAATGGCAGGAGGTTCTGGTCCTGATGGGCCGTAGTCTCCTGCCTGAGGGGAGAGGTTGGAATAGTCCATGTGCAGGGTGAGAGGGGTCGGCTGTGATACGTACAGGTCCTGCAGCGATGGGAGGCTGCCGATCACCTTCTCTGCAGAGCGCACTGTACGCTGTAGTCTCTGCTTGTCCCTGACTGTGGCTCCAGCGAACCACTGTCAGGGACGGAGGAGGTGAGGATGGACTCGATGATGGCCATGTAGAACTGCACCAACATCTGTGCAGGCAGCTTGCCTCAGAGAGTACATCCTCTGCTGGGCCGGCCTCCTGCTGGGAGACTCAGGAGCACAGGGACTGGACTAAACATGGGGAGTGAGCATTTAATGTATGCAGCAACAATCAGGAACAGTCTTCCTTCAAATGTGAGACAAAGTTCCACAGTGACATCTAATTTGGTGTCTGCGAACAGCAGATCTCGTTGGTACAAGTGCTTCTGTTGGGCGCTCCTCCTGCACTAGGGCATGTGTGGCCCGGGGATCTGTTTTCTTATCCTGTTCTTTTCGCTGACAGCGCTGCTCTCCTATAAACTCTGCACTAATACTAAACCGGAGGGGGGGAGGGTCTCTGCATGTGAGGGAGTCGGCAACAGTCTGACCTTATGCCACTATTGTCGTGAAGAACTCGTTTTGTCGTCGGTAATAGAATACCTCATTGCGACACTAACTCAATTATTCCCAAAGGCCCTTATCACGTTTTGATTCCTTTCGCTTCTGGGATCGTCACTGGCTTTACAGTATCCCCTGAATTGGAGATCAAAGCGGGCAGGCTCCGCAGAGAAAGCCACTGGAGGAGGAGTAATTGAATTGTTTGTTGTTTGTTGGTGTTTTTGTTGCGTGTTGGCACGGCAGCGGTAATGGAGAGCAGCTATTTCATGAGAGTAGGAACTGTTTTTTTCCCTTTTCTCTTGCTCTGTAAATAGCTGCTCGGTCCTGCTCCATTCAGAGCTGTTGTTTTTTGTTTCTCCAACAGTGAAGTGACACTTGCTCTCTGTCTTTCAATGGCCCCGTCTCCTTTGCTTTGCCAGTGCTTTGGTTTTCATTAGCGGCGCTGTCTTTGCCACAATAACTTTCTTGTGTCGGTTTGCTTCAATGTTTCTTTTCTTCAGACGGAACAATTTGTCTCAAAACTAACCAAACAATGAGCACATAGTCTGTCTTCATTTTTATTTCTTATTTGTTTCGATGTTGCTGCTGCTGATAATGTACTGCTGTTGGGAACAAGCCACTATATAAATTTCTGAATGTGCGTCATCCTCCTAAATACCTAGTGATAGTCTGGAACTCTAAATGATTTACAAATTTTAAGAATTGTATTAAATTAGCCTCCTGGCCTTAAATGTTGGTATAAAATAAGTCATTTTGTGAAGGGGAAAGAAGCTTGGATCGTTTTTTTTTTTTTTCAAATCATGTACGTCTCTCTTTTTTCTGACAAACTCCAGACAATCACTTTAAGTTATGAGAACAAAGTAACCGGGCCCATGTTCTCTGGTTTTCCCTACCACTAAAGAAATGTAAATGTGGAAAAAAAAAATTGTCTTGACCACTTTGAGCACAAACAGTAACAATTAGTTTTTTTTTTTTTATTGTTATTATTATTATTCTGCCAAGACAAGGCACTATTGCTCTTTACCCATATAAGACATACTTTTCTTTCTGAATGGCAAAAGCACTTATTCCATATGAATAGGCCCAGAAATGAGCAAGAAACAGTCAGCCATTCAGGAAAAGCACTGTGCTGATTTTTACTGATTATTAGTGAGTTAATGTTAAAAACTCTAATAAACACAACAGCAGATAATCCTTACTTGCTTTTTAGATAATCAATACTGAGTGGTGTTGCAAGAAAGCGTTATTGGCTCTCCCTAAAACCTCTGCACTGGCTTCCTGTGGCTCAGGGAAGAGACTTTAAAGCAGCTCTGCTTGTGCACAAGTTTCACCATGGCCTCGCACCAAAGTACATCCATGACATGAGCGTGCCATATGAACAAACTCGGATTCTGAGCCCCTGCTGTGACTCTGAGAAGTACAGGGACTGGCCTCCTGTTGGAACTCTGAGGAGCACAGGGACTGGCCTCCTGGCTCAGAGTCCTGTATGCAGCTACAACCTGGAACAGTCCCCCTTATTATGTTTCACATATAATTTGTTTTTGTCCAAATTCGAATTTGATTACCGGCTGCAAACATTGTTTTGTGATTGTAAAAAAAGCTATTTAACATCAAGTCTAATTCATGGGAACTATTTTGGAAGAATGTGATTTCATAGGGGTTCATTAACATTTTTGTTCCAGGGATTCCTTATATCAGCATGGACATGGTTAAAAGATAAACCAAATGCCGCCAGCTGTCGTTTTTCCTCAACACTGTGATAATCTCATCTCTCTGTTTGTTGCAGACGGAGCAGTTCGTCCACACGCTTAAAGACGAGTTGGTCAAGAGCGCGCTGCTGGCCCTGCACGCCGCACAACCTGGCTTCAGTTCCAAGACCCAGAGGGATCCAAGCCAAGTCCACCAAGGCTCTGACCACAATCAGTGCCCTCCACAGACGCTTCCCTCGGGCCAAAGTCCAGCAGAACCTGTCCCAGAGAGCCCCAAAATGTGCAACAATGTGGAGGAATCACAAACCAACACAACCGTGCCCCTCAAGAACCAAGACTCGATACCACATCATAAAGAGTACGACGAGGAGGAATGGGCAAGTGTCATCTGCTTTTTATATCAGCCCAGGAGCTGTCCATGGCCCGCCTGAGGCATCAGCAAGTTTCATTTAGTGGAAACCGTAGATTGCTCCACGTTGGACGGGTACTGCTGTTTGATCGTGACCAGTGTTGGTTAAGGTACTTTGAAAAGCCATTAGTTGCATATTACTGATTCCTTTTTAAATAATTAGTTAAAATTTACTACTTTTACTGAGCGGGGCCAGTACAGGAGGCACATGCCAGACCTTGTACTTGTTTTTAGAGGTAGGGAAACCAGAGCACTCAGAGGAAACTTACGCAGACACGGGGAGAACATGCAAACTCCACTCATGAAGGCCCTGTTCTGACCGGGATTCGAACCCAGGACCTTCTTGCTGAGAGGTGATAAGTGTCCAAGTACAACTAAGGCTGATCGTAATGTATGCAGGAAGCAGGGCAAGAAAATCTTTCCCACAGAGACAATTCTCTGAACTTCCTTCTGACTTTTCAGTTTCCAACCGTATGTATAGTGTGGTCTAAATCCCTCTCAAAATGCTTTGTTTACTGCTTTGTTGAATTACAAACGGGCAATGATTGGGTGATTGCTCTTCCTGGTTCTCTGAGTTGTCTGTGTTGCTGCAATACCTGACCTCGAAGCTGTTTGTTGAATAAAGAACATAACAGAATAAAGAACACAAAAACAATATGATAAATCAAAATACAAAATTTACTGAAAAAAAACTGATATATGTGAAAGAAATGACTGATACGGTGCTAGGAGTATGCAGAATTTGTTAAAGCCCATGACATTTATCAACACTGGGCGGAGTGACTGAGGGTGAAAGAGGTCCATACAGCAAGATGAACATGAATATGAATGAAAAAAATAAATAATAATAATAATACAATTTGAATTAAACATACAGTGCCCCCTTGAACCTTTTAAAATGTCCCCACATGTCAGGCTTCAAACATAAAGATATAAAAATTGCATTTTTTGTCAAGAATCAACAAGTGGGACACAATCGTGAAGTGGAACGAAATTTATTGGATAATTTAAACTTTTTTAACAAATAAAAAACTGAAAAGTGGGGCGTGCAATATTATTCGGCCCCCTTGCGCTAATACTTTGTAGCGCTAATACTTTGCAGCAAAACTTTGTTTTGCTGCAATTACAGCTGCAAGTCGCTTGGGGTATGTCTCTATCAGTTTTGCACATCGAGAGACTGGAATTCTTGCCCATTCTTCCTTGCAAACAGCTCGAGCTCTGTCCCAGTCTCAGGTCTTTTGCAGACTCCAACAGGTTTTCTTCCAGAATGGTCCTGTATTTGGCTCCATCCATCTTCCCATCAATTTTAGCCATCTTCCCTGTCCCTGCTGAAGAAAAGCAGGCCCAAACCATGATGCTGCCACCACCATGTTTGACAGTGGGGATGGTGTGTTCAGGGTGATGAGCTGTGTTGCTTTTACGCCAAACATATCGTTTTGCATTGTGGCCAAAAAGTTCGATTTTGGTTTCATCTGACCAGAGCACCTTCTTCCACATGTTTGGTGTGTCTCCCAGGTGGCTTGTGGCAAACTTTAAACGAGACTTTTTATGGATATCTTTGAGAAATGGCTTTCTTCTTGCCACTCTTCCATAAAGGCCAGATTTGTGCAGTGCACGACTGATTGTTGTCCTATGGACAGACTCTCACACCTCAGCTGTAGTTATCTGCAGTTCATCCAGAGTGATCATGGGCCTCTTGGCGACATCTCTGATCAGTCTTCTTCTTGTTTGAGATGAAAGTTTGGAGGGACGGCCGGGTAGATATGCAGTGGTCTGATACTCCTTCCATTTCAAGATAATTGCTTGCACAGTGCTCCTTGAGATGTTTAAAGCTTGGGAAATCTTTTTGTATCCAAATCCGGCTTTAAACTTCTCCACAACAGTGTCTCGGACCTGCCTGGTGTGTTCCTTTGTCTTCATGGTTCTCTCTGCGCTTTAAACAGAACCCTGAGACTATCAAAGAGCAGGTGCATTTATACGGAGACTTGATTACACACAGGTGCATTCTATTTATCATCATCAGTCATTTAGGACAACATTGGATCATTCAAAGATCCTCACTGAACTTCTGGAGTGAGTTTGCTGCACTGAAAGTAAAGGGGCCGAATAATATTGCACGCCCCACTTTTCAGTTTTTTATTTGTTAAAAAAGTTTAAATTATCCAATAAATTTCGTTCCACTTCACGATTGTGTCCCACTTGTTGTTGATTCATGACAAAAAAAATTTGTTTTATATCTTTATGTTTGAAGCCTGAAATGTTGAAAGGTTCAAGGGGGCCGAATACCTTCGCAAGGCACTGTAATCTATCATGATGAGTAAAAAGTATGCATGCTTGACCGAGTAAAACGTAATGATCTCTCTAACTAAGCAAGAAAAGTCCACATCATGTGGACTTTAAAGCCACACTGTATTTTTTACAGTTGCTCCAAATGAAAAAAAAATTTTTAGACAATAACAACTTCCACCATGTTTTTGAATTGTCTTCATAGACTTAGAATTTGAACTATAAATGTATATGAGAGCTGGACTGCTCTCCAGATCAATGTGCCATCTTGAAAAAGGATGCGAGAACCGTGTTTACGTTTCACAGGTGCTACTAATAACGTTGGTTCCACCGTGCCCTCACAAGTTTGAAAAAGGGATCATGGAGGACCACAGTTACGTAAAAGAACTACAACCCAAACAACAATATTTTAGAAAAAGAAAAAAAGAAAAAAATATATATATAAAATATATATATATAGAGTCATAGCAGCAAAGTGTCAAAATCGCAAACCACACGCACTGAAAGACAGCGTTAACACAACAGGAGGCACATCGTGTAGTTTGTACACAACAGACTCACATGTGAACAATACGTAACTTTATTCACACTGACAATAATGAGAACGAGGCAGAATCTGCAACACAGTCTCAGGATGTTCTGACACGATCCAAACGTGGTCCAACTACTATGTCTATTTCTTACCTAAACTTATTCAGGGAAAAAGCCTCAAATAAAACACACACAGAGACCCCACAAAACAATCGCCAGAATACATCAGCAGCAGCGTGAGTGAATGTTATGTTTCTTACTGGTTAAAAGAGCAAGTATGTGTACTGTTCTGTATTGTACAGAACATGACCAGTGCAACAGAACTGCACGGGCAGCTTTCTGGCAGTGTGCAGGCAGTGCACACCACACATACAGAAAGAACGGTGTGGTCAATGCCGCAGGAAATAGCAGCACATGCTCCTGACATTTCATGTTAATCATTGATGAGGACTAGAGGCTAAGATGTATAATCAGTGTCCTTTAGGGTTATTTCAAACCTAAATGGCTATGATAACATATAAAACTCAATAAATGAAAGTAGGGGTACTTACAGTAACTTTATTTACCATCTGGACTGACAGTGTACTGACTTTTTAATAATAATATATCAAACTTGTTTAGACACTCACAGATGCTTCACGTGGTGAATACATTTCAAAAGGGGGCTTACGGTAAAGCCTGTTGGAAAAGATGGGTTTTGAGTGTTCATTTTAAAGTTTGGTTGTGAGTCGGAGTTTCTAATGGGCAGTGGGAGTAAGTTCCAGAGGGTTGGGGCGTCAATGGCAAAGTCTCTGTCCCCCAAGGTCAAGTGGTTAGTGCGGGTGATGGGAGTGAGGCGGTGGGAGTCTTCTGAACGAAGGTGGCGGGTGGGTTGTTGCTGTTGCAGGAGCTCAATAAGGTGGGCCACGCCAGGTTTTGGAGGGACTTGTAGGTGAAGTAGCTTGTAGGATGAGATATTGAACAGGGAGCCAGTGGAGCTGCTGGGGGTGATGCATTTTCTGGACCCAATGTGGGGGAGGAGGCGGGCAGCAAAGTTCTGGATGTATTGAAGTTTTTGGAGATGAGTGGTAGAAAATCCATAGAGGAGGCTATTGCAGAAGGTCTGGAGGTGATACAGTGCCTTGCAAAAGTATTCTTACTTTTATACTTTTTACCTATTTTGTTACATCACAGCCTTTAGTTCAATGTTTTTTTTTATCTGAATTTCATGTGATGGATCAGAAAACAATAGTCTAAGTTGGTGATGTGCATATGTATTCACCCCCTTTGTTATGAAGCCCATAAAAAGCTCTGGTGCAAACAATTACCTTCAGAAGTCACATAATTAGTGAAATGATGTCTACCTGTGTGCAATCTAAGTGTCACATGATCTGTCAGTACATATACACACCTTTTTTGAAAGGCCTCAGAGGCTGCAACACCTAAGCAAGAGGCACCACTAACCAAACACTGCCATGAAGACCAAGTAACTCTTCAAACAAGTAAGGGACAGTGTTGTTGAGAAGTACAAGTCAGGGTTAGGTTATGAAAAAATATCCAAATCTTTGATGATCCCCAGGAGCACCATCAAATCTATCATAACCAAATGGAAAGAACATGGCACAACAGCAAACCTGCCAAGAGACGGCCACCCACCAAAACTCACGGACCGGGCCAGGAGGGCATTAATCAGAGAGGCAGCACAGAGACCTAAGGAAACCCTGGAGGAGCTGCAGAGTTCCACTGCAGAGACTGGAGTATCTGTACATAGGACGAAAATAAGCCATACGTTCCATAGAGTTGGGCTTTATGGCAAAGTGGCCAGAAGAAAGCCATTACTTTCAGCGAAAAACAAAATGGCACGTCTTGAGTTTGCGAAAAGGCAGACTCCCAAAATGTATGGAGGAAGGTGCTCTGGTCTGATGAGACTAAAATTTAACTTTTCGGCCATCATGGAAAACGCTAACCCAACACATCACCCAAAGAACACCATCCCCACAGTGAAACATGGTGGTGGCAGCATCATGCTGTGGGGATGTTTTTCAGCAGCCGGGACTGGGAAACTGGTCAGAGTTGAGGGAAAGATGGATGGTGCTAAATACAGGGATATTCTTGAGCAAAACCTGTACCACTCTGTGCGTGATTAGAGGCTAGGACGGAGGTTCACCTTCCAGCAGGACAATGACCCCAAACACACTGCTAAAGCAACACTTCAGTGGTTTAAGGGGAAACATGTAAATGTGTTGGAAAGGCCTAGTCAAAGCCCAGACCTCAATCCAATAGAAAATCTGTGGTCAGACTTAAAGATTGCTGTTCACAAGCGCAAACCATCCAACTTGAAGGAGCTGGAGCAGTTTTGCAAGGAGGAATGGGCAAACATCCCAATGGTAAGATGTGGCAAGCTCATAGAGACTTATCCAAAGCGACTTGGAGCTGTGATTGCCGCAAAAGGTGGCTCTACAAAGTATTGACTCTAGGGGGGTGAATAGTTATGCACATTGACCTTTTCTGTTATTTTGTCCTATTTGTTGTTTGCTTCACAATAAAAAAAAAGACAACATCTTCAAAGTTGTGGGCATGTTCTGTAGATGCAAATCCTCAAACAATCCATGTTAATTCCAGGTTGTGAGGCAACAAAACACACACAAACACAAATGCCAATACTTTTGCAAGGCACTGTAAATGTGGATGACTGGATGACTGGGTAAGGTTCACCACATCGAGAGGGACCGGGAGCAGCCCCGGGGAAGACCCAGGACACGCTGGAGGGACTATATCTCTCAGCTGGCCTGGGAACGTCTTGGGGTCCCCTCGGATGAGCTGGAGGAAGGATGTGTGGATAGGGAAGTCTGGGCATCTCTGCGTAGACTGCTGCCCCCGCGACCCAACAACGGATGAAGCGGAAGAAAAAGGAATGGAATGGACTGTGTAAGGGAGGGGCGGAAGCAGGCAATGATTTCAATCAATTTATGATTTCAATACAACATCATGGTATTTGTCTGATTTTTAAAGAAGATATGTTCAAGTTGTATTGCAACATAATTTGAATCTGTATAAAACTACGAGACTAGGGGGTCCAGAGACTTGAACTTATGTGCAGATCTGTGTCATAGTCCATTATAATGCTTTTACCATGGGTCCTGGCACTGCTTGTTTTAAGCCTTTTATTTTGACATGTTCTCCTTGTTCCCCATGGTGAAAAGCCAACATGGGTACAAACAACACTGCAATCTTTCCCATTGTTGTCCCGGGTCAACAAAGCATTTAAGCCCAGGCAGCATGAAAAAGCATATATTATACTTTCGAATGAGAAACCTGTGCTCAAGATGATCAGTTTCATAGATGCCATGTTAAATTCGTATTTCCTGACCCATAACGCAGAATTGTAAAATATTGACTTGCTTGTTATCCTTGAATTCCTACTGGCTGCGCAACAGCCCATTTACATGTCATATTTAGTGTACTTCCTCTCATTGCATCTATTGATAACTGCACAGAAGAAGACAATTTATTATGTATGGAATAGTTAACACTTTCTTCCTAGTAAGATTATTAGTTTGCATATCTGACAGCGCAGCCTGATGAAAAATGCATGGCGTGGATGTGAATGGACTGCTCATGATGCGTTTGGCTGTTGTAGGACAGAGTGTGGGCCAGCGTGGCCAAGTGTCTCAACTGTGTGATCGCCATGGTGGACCGGCTCCAGGAGGAGGACATGAACAAGCAGCAGCCAGCCCCGGAGCAGCAGCTTGCCGACGTCATCACCTCGCACAACCCGGGTAAAGACGCACACGTTCACGCCATTAAAGGTCAATGATAAAGGTCATGGCTGAGGTACCTTGCTTTCAATCCACACAATATGTGATAAAATCCATTTAGCTATTTCCTTGCTCTCAAACAGCTTGGTTAGTGTGAAGCGTGGAAAAACAAAAAATGAAGACCACTCTCTATTTTATTCACTCTCTTCCACTCAGATTTCAGCCATAGATAAAACATTTCTACTAAGATAAATACACCACGATGTTGTCTGGCTGTGCCTTTAAGTAGCGCTGTGCTAAAAATTTATTTTTAGATAATTATCACACTGAAATACATATATATACATCAAACATATGGATTTATAATTTTTTTGTTTCATTCAATAATATCCAATTCTTTTAATGTATTGAATCAAAATTACCCTCTATCTAGATTGTAATGCAGGCTCTGAAATAGACCCATCCCTATAATTACAGGACAAATTAAGAGGGGGACAATAACATTTGACTACCTTAAAGGGTTCAATGCTTTTCACCAGCATTGAACTAGTGAAAAGCAACATAAAGAGCTGATTTCCTCATTCTACCTTATTTTTTACCTGATATTTTCACTTGACAGTTTGCGAACAAGTCATGTCACAGGAATTAAGTGAAGCATGTGTCAAAGCTGGAAAGAATAAACCTTAACAGAATGTAATAGCCCTGTCTATTACTGTCACCATAATAATGTCAGAAAGGTAAGCGTTGGCTCTAAATGGTGCATTTGGAAATATATATATCGATATAGATATATATCTATATCTATATATATATATCTATATCTATATATGTACACTACCGTTCAAAAGTTTGGGGTCACATTGAATTGTCCTTATTTTTGAAGGAAAAGCACTGTAGATAACTTTAAACTAGTCTTAACTGTAAAGAAATACACTCTATACATTGCTTATGTGGTAAATGACTATTCTAGCTGCAAATGTCTGGTTTTTGGTGCAATGTTGTAATTGCTGCAAATGGAGGATTCTTTGACAAAAGCAAATTTGGATGTAAAACAAATCTTATTTCAAATACAAATCATTATTTCTAACCTTGTCAATGTCTTGAGTCTATTTTCTATTCATTTCACAACGTATGGTGGTGAATAAGTGTGACTTTTCATGGAAAACACACGCTACCCCAAACTTTTGAACGGTAGGGTATATATATATTCTTTTTAGATAATCAAACCACTATACTTTTTAATAACTTGAATACCTTAGATGCCAAGCCCAAACGTACACGTTTTTATGTCAATACTCAGGGGACAAAACGGGTTACAAGTTATACAAAATTGCACTACTTTGCAAACTGACGCGCAGCAAGCGGTGTAAGAATAGTGAATTGGGTTTTTGCTCGTACTGCCCTTTCCTTTATCAAATAGACCTTGTAAAAAAAATAGGTTTGACAATGTTTGCTGTGCGCCACATGAAGGATAAAGTTGCCGTAGTCCATTAAAATATGATTTTTCCTGGTCTTGGGTGCACTGCAACTTTAGAACCCTTTTGAAAGCTGGAAGTTAGTTTTGACATGTCTTTCCTGTAGTGAAAAGGGCCCACTTGCAGCAACCGTGCTCAAGCACAGGCACACTTTAACCGGGCTTTAGACCGCAGCCTTAAAACTAATCCAAACAACACGCCAGCCTTTCCCATAGCAATTGATCTCAAGTCAAATGACACAGTTGCTGTTTGATAACGTACAACTAGTGAACTCTTTAGTTTCTTCTGCATATAGAGAGAGGGAGAGATTACTCGCTCACGATAAACATGTTTGAGTGGTATTATACATATCATAATATGAATAGTCTGTTGTTGCCATACTAAATCAAGCACAGAATATCAAAAGAACGCAAATTCAAATTCTCATTTAGAAACCAGCATGTCCATCTCCAAATCCAAAAACATTTTCACTTTGGAATTAAGAGCGACTAGTGTGCATTTCAAAACTAATTTGTTCTGCATCTGCTCCAAGTGGCAGCCTCCCTGTTGTTTGAGCGTTAGCAAAGTCAAGCAAAAAAACTCTGCCAGAAAAAAGTGTGGAAATAAATCTGCACTTGATATGCAGAGTGGTCCAGTGCTGGCCACATGCTGCAGTCCTCCCTCTGGTGAGCAGTCAGCTGCTAGCACCAGACATCAGGCAGCATCAGGCGCAGTGGCTGTTAGGGAAAGAGGAGCTCATTCATAAGTTTTCAGCTCCTTTTAACTTGCCCCACAAACAAAGCCTTTCATTGCTAGAGGTGTCCATGTTCTATAAACCTGGTTGGGAATATTCTTTCTTGTATCAATTTTGGTTAGTTGTAGCCTGGTCGTACCACACCATAGTACAAATTACATTTCGTACTAAGGTCTGTAGGTGCTCCATTGAGCTCCGTTTACAGGTGGGAGGGATTAACTCCTTTTACAGATTTAAACAATTGGAACTGAGTTTACCGTCACGTATGTAATGCGCCCGAGTGAGTCTTTAGCATTTAGCATTTAGCCTTGCCATCTCCTTCGCCGCTAACGGAGCCCGTGGGGGGAGCAGCGTCACAATCTTTGCCAGCAATTACATTTGCTAAACATTCCTCTTGCTCCAGCTTCAATTTCTTGATAGAACCAGACCGGAGTACATCACTATAGCATTCTTTGCCATTACCAAACTACAACCTGCCTGTTCTACGCAAACTCTTGACGCCAACCACAACTAACTACAACACCCGCCTCCCGCGCTCGCTGATTGGTCGGTTGGAATTCAACCGATTGTAATCGCTAACACAGGGACCAGACCCAGACGTTACATGCAGGGAAATGATGATTGACCGGAGTGTACGGATGGCTAAGGCCCTGTCTCCACCGGCTGCGTAAAACGGACTACGTACCGTCCAAACGTGTCCGTTTCATCTCCATATTGTACATCAAGATGTACATCCAATGAGTGAAAATTACACAAATTACACAAAAATAGAATGCCTTTGTTAACATTAAAAGATTTCAGTTTCATGAGAAGATGGAAGATGAAAAATAAACTGTCAAATAGCTCCTGGATCCAAGACTCAAACCTTTACCTGCACCAATCTTTTTATTGTATTCATTGGTCTTTTATAAAGTTAAAGACTATCTTTTGCATAAGTGTGTGTCCATCCATCCATCCATTTTCTTCCCCTTAATCCATTTCTGGGTCGGGGGGGTGGCAGTCAGAGCTGCACCCAGTACACAGAGCACCAGCCCCTCCACCAGCACCATAAGTGTGTGTGATCTTGATTTATTAATTATTTGTCATTGACTCCTTAACCTCAAACAGATAATACATAACAGCGGCGACACTCCCTGTTTTAGAACCACCCTGACTTGTTTGAAAAAAAGATTACAAACCAACACATCTGAATCTTAGGTGTTTTGGAATGTCACTTTCTCGATCGTGTCATTTCCAGTAATGCTTGCTTATTATTGTTTTAGTTGACCAACTGGTTTTCATAGCAGGGAGAATTCTTTGCAGACTATGCGAAGTGTTTCTCCATGAGGGTTAATGGAAGTGGCTCCACTGCCCGCAAAATGCGTCCGTATGACGCGCGTAGGGAGCAGTCCGTCTACGCAGGGTGCAACGGACGCAATAGAAACAATCCTATATTTTACGTAGGTCGATGCGTGTCTGGTCCGTTTTCCATTGGAAATACAATGGAAAAACATATTTACCACATTATAATACATGTATTGATACATGCTGTAGTCCTTGGTAATCAGTGTTTGTTAATGACAATGATAATTAACAAATGTGGGTAATTTATTTTCATGTATTAAATTAAAATAATTGTTTCCCTAACGAAAAACTTATGGAACCTATAGGCACATTTAAAGGTAATTAATTAAAACACACTTAAAATACATTTAGCAAAGACACAACAGTTCATAAATTATGCAATACTACCGGTTGTTTGGAGCAATGACGGAACAAACAATCTCTTGCAGCAGAGAGAAGGAGCCATACAGCAGGCGTGTGGCATCCTCAGTGATGAGAGTGGCCTTCCTCAGCACTGATCAGCTGTACAGCTCACAGAGCAGAGTTTGTGGTGTTTGGGTGACTTTGCTCGCCTGTTTTACTACACTATTAGTAAGTTTTTAGTAAGTAAGTTTTTATTTATATACCGCCTTTTCACTGCAGATCTGAGTCTCAAAGCGGTTTACAATTGTTAATTTTGGGCATTTGTCTCTCACTCCACACAGAGATGGGAGCGGGGTCGCCAGTACAGGAGGCGCATGCTAGAACTATTGGACATATTTTTTAGTGGTAGGGGAAACCGGAGTACCCGGAGGAAACCTACGCAGACACGGGGAGAACATGCAAACTCCACTCAGAAAGGCCCTGGTCCGACCGGGATTCGAACCCAGGACCTTCTTGCTGAGAGGCCAGAGTGCTATCCACTCAGCCACCGTGCCGCCCTATTGAGTTGTGTCCCGTGTTTGAGAATGAAAAATTTGAACCAGGTGGAGATATTGTACATCAAGATGTACATCCAATGAGTGAAAATTACACAATTGATAGAATGCCTTTGTTAACATTAAAAGATTTCAGTTTCATGAGAAGATGGAGGTGCTGTTGTGACTTTTAAAAAACAGAGTCTGCATGGTGCCCAAAGGACAAGCTGCTGTCTATCTTTATCCCAAGGTATTTGAAACAGCCCACCTGCCCCATCTGCTGGCCATGGATAACTCTGAGTTGGAAAAGATCCACAGAGTCTGGTTTTCTAGGCTTCACAGCACAACTATTTGGTTTTGGAGAAATTTAGCTTCAGGGAGTTCTGAGCAAATCCACAAACCAGCGTGTGGACCTCCTACTGATATTGTGCTAGGGCCTGTGCATCAGTGAGCTCTTCCACCAGAGCCATGTCGTCTGCATACTTTATAACGGTCAGTCCTTTTGTGCTACAGAAGATGTTATAAACCTATGTACAGTATTTTGTTTTTTTTATTTTATGTTTTGGGACAAACAATGTATTATGAAAACCAAAT